GGGTAAAAGGCCGACCCAGGTCATGAGAAAGCCCCGCCCTAGGAGCGGGTGTCCCGGGTTTTGGCAGCCGCGATTTTGGTCAGACGGAGAAAGCAGTTTTGATTAGGGAATTCGCGAAAACCAACTACAGTTATTTTTTTGCATGCTAAAGCGAAGCATCAGCGAAAAATGGATTAAGTTTATGATCGCTGGAAAACCAAAAAAATAGACATCCAATAAACAAGATCTATATCAATAAGAAACAATAGTGTATCAGCCCAAAAATTAAGAACCTNAGAACCTGACTACTCTGCATGCTGTGCTAAAAAGTTTGAATATACTGTATGCAAAAATTGATATTTCAATACCTTTCATCAAGTAAAGAGTTTGTTGTTGGGGCCAGACCAACAAAATAAAAAATATCAGCTTAAGATAAAAAATTTAATCTTCCACTGCATATATTGAATATCCTGAACTTGTAATCATACATTTAAATGACCCTCTGAAAATACTGTATGTCAAAAATCAAACCCAAATGATTTTTTCAGTAAGCTAATCATTTCAAGAAGAAGGTGAAACCTGCAAAAAAACAGAGGTGCACATCATTTTCTTTATGTATGCAGCAAGAGATTATGAATCTTTCTACAGATAGGACATACAGTTGACCTCCGCACAACAGACTGCCTCTTGGGGTAGTTTTCCCTCCTGTGCAACCGACTAAATCCACATAACAGACTTCTGTTGGCTTAAAATTAATGTTCAAAAGTAAAAATTTTACTTTTTTAAGAATTGAATTTGAATAAAAGACTTTTCAAACAATGGACAACTGTGGTCAACTGTGTATGAATAATGTACATTTTTGATACAGTACTTTAATTTGTCTAGAAAATATTTATGGCTGTTCATCATACCCAGAATGAAGCCAAATTTTCCAACTAAAGAACTCCCTGCAAAAAAAAAAAATGTCACTGTTGAAGTCCCTTCAAATTTCACCTGTAATCATGGAGGGCTTCAACTTTATACAAGACAACTAAAAAAAAAATTTAAAAACCCCCCATTGGCAACCAGAACAACGTCTGCACAACCAGGACCAACCCAATCCATCCACACCACACCACAACCCCCCCCCCTCCTCGGAGTCATCCCATAACCCCCCCGATATCAGGGTATATCTCCCCACCCCTCCCCCAGGCCAAAGATAGAGAGAGTGCAGAGGAAGGAAACATACCCAGCAAACCCGAAATTCCTTCCTTCCTGACCAGTCAAACCGAAATTCCGGTTGCTCCCGGTCGCTTCCCGTCGTGTGTGTGCTTGCTTGCTCTCTGTCCATGCAGGAACGGGAAACGGGAAGAAGGGCGGAGGGGGGTTTCTGTGTGAGTGTGTGTGTCTGTGTAAGTGTGTGTGTGCACACTAAAGATGGGACTGAAACTTGGCCCAGGAAGTAAAATCCGCTCGCTTTTTCCCCCCCTTTTTAGAAAATGGGCAGAAAAAGAAAGATAATGTACAGTAAGTTATTCGGGAAACACGAGGAGAAGTGGTTGAGCAGGTGGATTTTTTCGCGTTGTGCTAATTCTGTGTGCGGCGGAAGAGGAGGGGGGAGGGGTCTTCCAGGAAGAAAAAAGGCACGGATTTTCTATATATATATACAGAAACACCAGGTGGAATTTTTGCTGCATTATACCCAGGGCTCAGTCAGGTAATGTGCGATTCATCGAGAACCATTTAATCGCCCCGCCTCGAAGAACGCATAAGAATTCAGCATGAAAATAAATTGCTGTAAAGTTTTTTTTTCAATTATGCATTAAGTTAATTTGGTGGTACTGTATGTTTTAGGTTTAAGTGAGCATTGAATCTTATTCCCCCTTTGCTGCTGATAATAAAGAGCAACCGTAATATAATTTTTCAAATTACAGCTGCACGTTGCAAACTCGAAAATTATTGTGTCAAAACCCCCGGATTTACAATTTTTCTTTGGGCCCTGTCCTGAATTCCCTCAAGAAGAAAAAAAATACGATATGAACCTCCGTAACTGGAAAAATGTCCCTCTCAAACATCCACAACTTGAATTTCTAAATGCCTTCGGGCCATTCTTCAAAGAGAAAAGCAATAAAAATATCACTTGATGCTTTCCCAAAGACTAATTAGGCTAAATGTACCATTTCTTTGAAGTTCAGCATCCGTTCAACTCATTTATCCAACTCTTCCAGAAGATCACTAATGACAACTTCCTGCAATTCTTTTTTTCACCGGAAAAACGCTGCGTTTGAACTCGAAAACTCCTTCTTTTATTTATTTTTTGGCGTTACAATGTAGCGCTGAAATTGACTGTATGATCTATAGTTAGCACAAAAAGAAGACAAAATGATACCCCGCTATAGCACAGTAATTTTACTTTGAGTTATTGAAGTTCGTGCCATTCTACAAGGAATTCCCAATTCACGACAAAAGTGAACTGATTCTTTTCGGTTTACCGGGATTATTTCTTGCTATGACTATTATGACTATCACCACATATAAAGTAATGTAATTGTTCTCAGATGCTTCGAGCGATTCTCGTAGCAGGAATTTATCTAATTTAAACACTAATTCTTTAAGGTTAAAAATATTCGCTGACACGGGTTTTATTTTTAAAGGGGTCGTCAGTGTGAGACAGCTTTGCAATTCCGAAGTATCAAATTTAGATGAAGACTATATATGAATGCTCGCAATCTTTCTGCTGGCTAAAAACCCAGGAATATTCGTACTGAACCTACATTTTTGAAAACGAAAGAAGGTTTTGAAATTAGCGTTTCAATTCAGACAGCTCTTTTATTCAATGAAGTTGACTATTGGAAAATGCTAAAAGTTAGGGGTTTTTAGGAATTATGGTATGTACCTTAAATTTTCGCCACGGCTAATTGCAGTTTTTTTTTTTTTTGCCCTTGTGACGCCTTTGCTGGAAGGCGACTGATTTTGAGTATCTCGAGACCAAAAAAAAATGGCATGGTTTTCCAAACATGGAACAGAAAATCGTGAAAAATAGCACAACGTGATCATGAGAAAATAAAAGCAGGAAAAGTTCGTTATGATTTTTCGTCATCTCAACCACATCGATTCTTCAAGAACAGCTTTTCAGCAAATTTTCACATCATCGCATTCTCCGATTTTTTGCTTTCTCAAATTTCATACGGAGACCCCTTAAAAATGCGTTAATCAAACATGGACAGTTTTGTTGACAGAAATCGGACGCACAATCGCCCTCAAATAAGTCAACATTGACATTTCAATTTTCGCATATAAAGAACATCAATTTATCCTACTCCAAGATTCGTAAAATTTTGAACTGTAAAAGATATGATATTAAATCGCAAGATTGCTTAAGATTCAGTATAAAATGATTATTTGTTTATTCAATCGAACAAGTTTAGAAAAGGGGGCCGATGAATTTCGATTCGTCCCCGTAAATATTCGATTCGTCGCGAAACTTATTAAATCGCAAGATTAAATAAGATCCTGTATAAAAAGCTTATTTATTTATTCAATCGAACAAGTTTAGAAAAGGGGGCCGATGAATTTCGATTCGTCCCCGTAAATATTCGATTCGTCGCGAAACAAAATTTTTAAATGTTCACGCATCCCGCACTTATTTGAAACTGAATTAAATTATGCTTATATTATTTGCGGTATCAAAAAAAAAACAACAAAAAACAGAGGAAGCAAATGAAGACATCCGCTGAGTGCCATTCTCTCTTCCGTTGATCACATTTTCGTGATGCAGATACGGCATAATTATTCTTCTTTCTTCGTAAATTTATTTACAAAATTATCACGGATTTCTCAAAGCCCAATTATTCCACCCACTTGACATACGGTTACCGAAGCATAAATAAATTCAGAGTTCGTAGCATCACGGGAAGAAAAAATCTGCTTTTCAACGAGTTCGCTCAAGCGGACGGTTCATTGATTATTCCCTAGTTAATGGAGTAACTTATCGAACATGAATGATGCTACCGTTTTTCCCTCGAATAAAGCACGCATTTTCCTCACGCTTTAACGCGAATAAAAGCCCCGCAAAACGAGATAAAAATCAGACATAATCGCAACGCTCGAAAAAAAAAAGACAAGCCAACGCTTCAACTAATGGCTTCTCCCAACGGGTGGGATGATGGGTCACCCCCAAAAGCAGAAATCGATGCTCTTTCAGATACCAAGGGGTCGTCACGAAGTTCCTGTCCACGAAAAGTGTTGAAATGAACACATGGCCCAAGTTTTCAACACATTTCCATTCACGAACAATGAAGGAACACTTTGGAATCGATGACGTCAGGATTCGCGAGCAGAAAGCGTCCAAAAATTACCGCCCACTCAAATGATTAAGACTGGAAAAATAGATTAACTTTAAATCACATTTGAGATATTAAAAACTCGGCTTTTAACTAAATTTAAAAAAATTATAAAATAAATCCCAACTTAGAACGTCGTCGGAAAACATAATAAACCAACTTATTTTTGTAAAATAATATTTCTCAGAAGTGATATAGTTGTCAACAAATCGATTCGATATTTTCCGGTTTATTATTATTGTCACAGTAGTTCATCATGCTGATGATAAATATGATTGCCTTTTGAAAAATTTCTAAACAAACTACATAACGTATGAAAATAAAGAAGGGTTCGTCCACTTTTTCCGAAGCAACTTCCATTCAAAAAATGAGGAAAAATTATGGGCTATAAATGTGTTCTGACCATAAAATATAAAATCGAGGCGCCAATTATCCGGGGCATCATTTTATTCTGTCCAGCAGATGATAAAATATATGTTACATTCGCAAAAGAAATGATCATTTTCAATTTCAAGGGTCTTGAAAAATCAAGGCGCGGATCTTTGAATAAAGTGGCGTCTTTTCCTTGCGGAAATGTGGGTCAGAAACTGCATGATTACTTTCTGAAAAAATGAAAAATGTTTGGGATGAAACTTGTTTTTCTTTTAGGATGTGGGGGGAGGGGGGGGGGTTGGAAAAAGTGAGATTCAGTGAGAGAAGATGGGTCACGTGGCGCCGCGGGTTCGACGCGTGTCGACGAACATGTTGCGCCCATCGGAGCTCATCGTCGACGTCGTCGTGCGTCGACGTTCCCCGTCGACTTTCTGGCTGCTGTTGCTCTTTTCACGTGTCATTATTTTCAACCTTCCCTTTTCTGTCCTATTCTGCTGCTTTTTTTCCAGCTTTCTAACTTTGAAACGACGCCTGTTAATTCATCAACTTTTTTTTATTTATTTTTTTACCCTAGCGATCATCATTCGAACCAGGAAAAAGATACTGGACCAAAAAGGCGAGGATAAACTTGGATAGCTCGCGAATAAGTCCCACGATTGATTTATTTTCAGATAATTCAAAACTATTCATCATCTGCGAAAACGATTTCACAAAATATTTTCCCAGGTTTTCCGCAGGCATCAAAGGCGACGCGGAAAATTCATGGACCAAGAAATTAATTGCTCCCTGCAAATTTTTTCGAGTGGATCACAGATGGTTTTTGGTATACAATTTGATTTTTATTCTCTTCAAAATTAATATTGGCTGAGTGAAGTTGAAAGCAATTAAAAGAAAACCTCGAGTTGAAAATTCACCACGTCGTTCTGTAAGTGAATAAACATAAGTTTCACGCTCTTTTTTTAAATTATTTGCGAACGATTGAACCAAAATTAAATAATTTAAAATTTTCATACAGGTTTAACCATGTCGAAGATCGGATAAGTATGTTCAAAAGAAGAAGTTGTTTGATTTTGAAACATTTTCTTCGTACGTGATTTTGAAACGGCGAGGTTTTCCGAATATGTTGATTTGCCGAGCAAAGCATTCAGCATTTCTAATACAGAAAATAAAAAAGAAATTAACAAGAGCCTTGGTTAAATCGAAGTGGTATTTGAAAGAATTTTCTTTTACGAATCTGGGCACTCGAAGAAACTCATTTCTTAATTTTCTTTGCATGAGTTTTTATTTTACTTAATCATCGGTTGGGAATCTTGTAAAACGATGTGCTGTATTCTTATTCTGCGAACTCTACATATTTTGGATTAATAATCATTCTGTTTTTTTTCAGAAGGAAGAAGAAAACGAGTGATTCCATCAGCTGAGCAGGCAAACCTCTCCGACATCCGAATAGAAAGCATCGATAGTTCCCTTTTTTTCTCATACTCCATGTACACCCAAACGTTCCCATTCATTTATAAAATGTTAACTCCCAGTTCCAATTGCTGCATCTAAAATTTGGCTTTCTTTTCCGTTTTATCCAGATCCTTACCAGGTGTTCGGCCCAACAACCAGCCGCCTTGCGAACTCAGGTATTTTCTAGCGCATTAAATTCAAGACAAATTCAATATTTTTTATAGCAGGGAGAATAGGTATCAAAGTTTTCTCAGATTTCTTCAAATTTTCCGCAGGCAGCGGCCAGATTCAACTATGGCAGTTTCTTCTCGAACTGCTCAGTGACTCCAACAACGCAAACTGTATCACGTGGGAAGGGACTAATGGGGAATTTAAGCTTACTGACCCGGACGAAGTCGCGAGACGCTGGGGCGAGCGCAAGTCCAAACCAAACATGAACTACGATAAACTCAGCAGAGCGTTACGGTGAGCGACAACTATTAAAAATGTGAAATAATTTTCTGTAAAGCGCCGCAGTCTGACCTAGATGTCGCGCATACACAGGTATTATTACGATAAGAACATCATGACGAAGGTGCACGGGAAGCGCTATGCGTACAAGTTTGATTTCCAAGGCTTGGCAGCAGCTACACAACCTGCTGTTGCAGACACGGGTGCCTACAAATACCAGCCTGAACTTTTCATGTCTGCTGGTTACGCGGGATCCACGACGAAATTGAACTTTGCCGTGGGATCGCATCACGGGATCCCAACTTCAGCGGGGAACGGGATAAAATTTGAACCAGGTTTGAAAACCGAGTTTTGAAACTTCGAAATGTAAGACGTAATTTGTTTAAACGACAATCCTATTTACCGGAATAAATTACCCAACTGAAGTACGGTTTATTATTTACTATTGCTGTACAGTACAGTAGTACTGTATCATTACCCATGAACGATTGAAAGTGGAGCGACATCTATCCTGATCTGGAAAACATAAGTAGCAAGCTTTGTCAGTGTATACTACAGAGGCTATGTGCCCCCCGGGGACGCAGGTTCATCTTAGTCGCGTCAACGGCGCTAACGCCACCAGCATCGAATATACAGTACATGTACTGCTGTATATTCTTATGGAAAGTTAGCCTGAAGTTAACTGCAAAATAATCAGAACTGATTGCCTGCCAGCAGTTTACGAGAAATGAAATGAGCGAATGCTCAAATCATGTCTATAACTATACGTAATATCCGCAAATTTGCTTAGGTTAGTTATGTCTTGGCTCTTGCATAAATTACCCAAGTTTGCACAAATAACCTTACACGTAAAGCCCAGAAACTTGGGTGTTCTGATGATTCTTTTTAGCGTTCAACTCTGGTATTTGCGCAGTGTACGACTATGCGTCAGGATCCATCTTCCCACCACCGTCTTCCTACTGGACTTCAACTGCTGGGGCAAATCTCTACTCGAATATAGCAGCAGCAGGACATCATTCCGCTGCTGCAATGGCTGCGTCTCATTCAGCAGCAGCAGCCGCAAGTCACGCTAGTTCACTGGGATCCAGCTACCATTACCCATGAAGGATTTCCTGTTGAGCGACATCTACTTGATTCTCAATAAACATTTAGCGAGCTTTGAAAATGTATAGCTGCAGAGGGCATGAGACACTTGGTTACGCAGGTTTTCTCCCCGCATCACTGAGGACAATAACGAACGCTTCCCGTTTGTCATACAGGTGTTTCGTTCCGCATTGTTCGGATGTTACGATTTTTATTGAGCTTTTCGGAATCGCTCACGCGTAGATCTCAAGTTTTCGCGATTGAAGCTTTGCAAACATTACTATGAATCAAATAAAATTTCGCTGTCGACGATTACATGCTGCTTCACATTAATTTATGTTCTGATCATACTATTTCTGCATAGATCTGAGGAACCCGCGTTTGCCCGGAATCTAAGCAGTTGGCCTCATGACCGCATGTTCTATAGTATTATCTATGAACTTTTCGAGCCCTCCTCAACACATCGGCTCGTTGGTCTAGGGGTATGATTCTCGCTTCGGGTGCGAGAGGTCCCGGGTTCAATTCCCGGACGAGCCCAGAATTTTTCTTTTTCTTGCCTTTCGAAAAAAGTCACGGAGAAGGCGTGACTTCGTGATACACTCAATGAGAACGGATGAAAGGTACTCACCAATCCGGAATGCCTATTGGAGCTGGTTGCAAGCTGCGAAGTGTCAATTCACTCCTCAATCGACAAATTGCCATGCACAACGTACTGCAATGAACAGCACTTGGCAACAGCGTATCGCCGATTCCATACAATTCATGAGCACTATATGGCACCTTTACAAGCACAAGCCTTCTACTGCTGGCGATAAAAACCCGAACGCGTTCACTGCTGACAGAAAATCATAGCCTCAATTTAGCTCATTCTCATGTCAGACTAGAATTCATGGGAATCACATGCTGCATTCAAGTTTTTAAATAGCATAGCTTGTCTCTCAGACCACTTCCTAGTTTATATTCTCTACACTCCACTCCGAATACGTGTTCTACTGATGCCTTGTTTTTCGTAAGAATAATGGGGTGGCTATTCCTCCGGATTAGATCGTCGCGCGCGCAATCGAAACTGTCATGGCAGTAAATTGGAGTACTTCTGGCGATGGTCGAATGAACCATCGAGTGACCTTCGAACCGCGGCCATTTTGAGTGATCGGTTTGCTGGCGCGTCGTTCGCTTTCCGTCTCGGGGGTAATGCTTTCGCACTTTCCAGTTGCTGGCGTATTTCGTTTTCAGAGATTTCCTGTGAAGTGAACCTATAATGAATGTGTCTTGTTTATTCCCATAGACTGTTGTAGTTCGTGATGGCTTACCGGAGTGCATCCGGGATGTAAACGACGTGCTGATGATCCCGTGTAGTTCGTTTCCGCGGCGTGTGCTCGAGAACCTCTTCTTCCGTGACAAAAACGTTGGCTTTCGCGGAACTGATTCGCTGCCAACCGCGGGCCTAATCGCCGATAATTAGAGACTCTAATACTGACATTTGGACAGTTGTGTGTGTGTGGCCGGTGTTCTCAACGATACGGAGGCTGAGGACGGATTTGCGCCACGAGATTTTTCTCCGGGGTGAGTTTCTCCGAACCGATTTGAATTTTCGTTTGCACCACTGCTGTTTCGGTCTAGTTCTTCTCCTGTCTAGACTCTATACAAGTCTTTCGAGCAAGAGCAGTTGGATGTTTCCTCTTTTTCCACGACGATTGCGGCCGAAGTTTAGCAACCAGTTTCGTTCCTCGGAATGGGCGACTGGTTCTGAGAATCGACGTGATTCTGTTTCTCGAGCATTTTGTCAGTCTTTGCATTTTTTTTTTTAATCTCACCAGCCTTTCGTTTGCCTGTAATAGTTGTTTCTAAACGTATGTAGATCAGGCAAGAGTAGCATGGGGGGGTTCTGGGTTAGGAGTGAGAATACTCGGTCAACGACCTGGGAAACCCACAGGGCCTGCGCAAGGGTGTTACGCGGAGTGAAAAATAATTTGACACCCCCCTTCAATATATAATGTATGTATTATTTTGTATAATGTAAAAAATATATACTAGAAAATATCCACGTATTCCCATTTTTTGTATGCATTTGAAATAATTCAAGCTGCTGCATGAATCCACATAAATGTATACCCAGAACCTTTTTCTTTAAAAATTAGCCCATTTTCTGGTTCTATATCCCTTTGGTACACTTGGTACAATAAGGAGGTGAAAAATATTTTTTTCTATTTTTTTCATAACGGTTGTATTGAAAAGTGTGATGATAATTTTCTTGGCTGACGTAGTATAACTGGCAAGCATTCAGCTATTAAACATTTCTAAAAATAAATCCCATCAGTTTCACTCATTCTTGAAATTAAATAAAAAGAGAAGAATTTCAGTATTACTGTACGTGCAAATGAAGTTAAGATGACAACATAATTAATAGATGGCCCTCGGCATTTCTTCAGTTTCTTGCTAATTTAAATTTATCCTAGCCGAAATAGCATTTTGTCTGGTTTTTTGTAATTTCATGCAAAAATTCTGATTTTAGGACTTGTACTTTTACAAGTGAGAGATACAGTACTTTTAAAATTTTGCTGATATTGACTCTATGTAGGAATATTTCTTGCTCAGGATGCAACAATAATTTACTTTATTCGTATGATGGGGCCTTAAATGAAAGAAGGCACTGACTGAAGTTTTAACATGCGCCTTTCTTTTGGGTGCCATAACTGAAACACTTGCCAAACACAATTTTGGCACCCGTGTGTACGCAGGTCCTGGAAACCCACAGGGATTAGCATCCTATGAATGAATGAATGGCGGGCGCGTGAGTTACTACAGTACTGCATTAGTAGTCTCATAAAACCGGCAAAACGAAGTCGTACGGGGATTTCTTATTTTTAGATCTTGGCCAAAAATTGCTCTGATATGACGTCGATGTTGTCGACATGCCTGCTAATATTCAGCTAAGGCGAATAAACGATTTTTGCTTGTTTGTTTGTGGGGATTACTGCGGGTTTAGGCCACAGGTGTGTGTGTGTGCTGCAAAAGTTATGAAGCTTGGTTTGGTTTCATCCAGCACTGGGATCAATAATGGATAAGTGCAATAACTGAAAGGGCCTTGCTTGGATTCTATGACCTCCTAAACCCAACTTATTTTCGTTCGGCTATGACGAGAGTATATTTGTACAGTATAGGAAAGAATTGGAGGTCACAGGTGCTGGTGAGCTCTTAAATTAGACGGCATTGGGGGGAAAAAAAGCTGTTTCGGACAACATTTTGACAGCTTCGTCGCCTGTTTTTGATTGTGGGAATAAATTTTGCAGACATTTAATGCCATGGGCTGGGAAACACTGCTGTAATTTCCTTCTTTGATGCGTGATGACAAGAAATTAAATCATGGAGAGAGCAAGTTTCATTTCTTTCAAACAATTGAGATGGAAATCATTAGATCATTTTGATGCTTGACATTTTCTGTGAAAGAGGTGAAGTGCTCACCTCCCTAATTTTATATTTTTTGATCAATTTTTGTATCGAGATCCTCCAGCAAAAGTTGCGCTGTTTATTGAGAAATAGTAGATTAAAAAATTAATCTAAAAAACCATGTTTTTCAAGTAAGACTAAAAAGCACAAAAAAATTTAAGTGAGCAAAATTTGAGTTGCAAAATTTGATCCGGACAAACAAATGGACAAGAAAGCGAGTTAATAAAAACGTGTTAAAATTGTGGGAAATGGGAAAATGCGCATCAAAAATTTCGGTTGGATACTGGTCCTGAAAAAGAAAAATGTGGTTTATCAAAAGGAAAAAATACATGTAGTTTGTTTGCGGAACTTGGCCTAGGCTCTATTTTTAGGCCTAATGTTTGTGAAGGTCAAAAATGGATATCGGAAAGTGATTACTAAGAATGAGCTTTCGCACGCGGTTTGTTGTTTTAGCACCGGAGTGAAGCGGAAGGTACTCATAAATAATACAAATCTCTCGTAATTAATGCTGTGTTCAGCGCCGTAAATTTGACCTCACTCCATAATGAACACACACCCTCTTGATCACGTTTTTCCACGAAGTGCAACTTGATCAATTATACGCGTGTAATTTTCCGTGTCAAAATGCGGTGATGATTCTGTGCTTCCGTTTGTTGAATCCAGGCCGTATAGAAAATGTAAATTCGACCCCCCCACGCTATTTTTGGTCTTTCGCGATTATTAATTGCCCCCTCGGTGCATTTTTTTTTTCTCTCTGTGCATTGGGACGAAGTGTGAATGGAATCGACTCGATTGTAGGTCACAGCACGTAGCAAAAACAGCCGAAGCGTTGTTGCGAATTTTATTTTGGATTCCGCATTCAATGCTTCGAAAAAAAATGTGTTTCTTTGTCGAAATTCAACGTTTCCGTCTTCGTCCAAATTGAAGGATCCGGGTTTTCCATGACAAGATCGACGCAGTTTCTTCATTCCGTGGGACTCACTCTTGAAGGGTAGTAAAATGTGCCGATCCCATGAGGCTCCTTTCAAAAAATAGTTTCCTAATTTTTTTTTAGAAATAATTTTCTCTGCCCAGTCATATGTGTCTTGCTCGGATTCTGCAACTGCAACCTACTGGAATCCCTGAGAAAAGATAAGACGAACATCGATTTTGTAAACAGCATTTTTCTCTTCTGAAAGATTAATATGATGGTTGTTGATGTTTCAGTATGAGGAAAGCCTGCGGGAAATGTCAAGCAAAATAATCTCTCTTTTGTGGGGATCATGCATTATTTTCGTGCAATTTCACGGGAGGGTTATTTCTGCTTGTTTTTT